GGTCTTATCTGCACGACGACGCTGAGGTCTCAAACTTTTGGGTCTCTAAAGAGTGCTTCGCCTTGAGCGAAAGGGACATCTCTATTAAAAAATAGTAGGACAAGAGTTTGTTAAGGATTAATTTGACCTGATTCCTCTGAGACATTGAAATATTTTTGGAGTCTTTTTATTTGTGGACTTTAGCAGCATTAAATGGAAATTAATTCATTTTTTGTTGTTTTGTGTTTTGCTTCTTTTTTTATATATTTTTTGTTTTAAGTTGTGCTGTGCTTTATTTACGTTTTTTTTTTGTTTGTTTAATGTGTTTTTTGTTTTGCTTTTTAAAGTTGCGCATAGTTTATTGTGAAATGCATTGTTTAATGTGTTTTGTTTTTTATGTCATGTTATGTTGTGTTGCGCTTTGTGTTTTGTTTTATGTTTTGTTTTGTTTTGTGTTGTTTTTTATGTTATGTTGTGTTGTGCTTTGTTTCATGTGTTTTGTTTAATGTTTTGTGTTATATTTTGTTTTATGTGTTTTGTTTTTTTCATGTTATGTAGTGTTGTGCTTTGTTTAATGTGTTTTGTTTAATGTGTTGTGTTGTGCTTTGTTTTGTGTTCTGTTTAATGTGTTTTGTGTTACAGTAAGTTTTGGTTTTATGTTGTTATGTTATATCGTGTTGTACTTTGTTTAATCTGTTTTGTTTAATGTGTTTTGTTTTGTTTTTATGTTATGTTGTGCTCAGTGTGTTGTGTTATGCATTGTTTTATGTATTTTGTTTAACCTGTTTTGTGTCATGATTTGTTTTTTTTGTGTTGTGTTGTGTTGTGTTGTATGACTACATTACATACGCACGTTATGATTTTGCCAATTATGATACGATCCTGGATAAACATCTTATGTTGATCCTGGAACATAATTTTTGTTCGAAAATGTAATCCACCTATTCCCTTCGTCTAAGATCAACCATAACTAAATTATTCCTAAAATCAGAGGGGAATAATAGTTTAATAACCATCATGTAGAAGTGCATAAGCCTAAACGTAAGCCTAAAAGTAAATGCTAAATGTATCCCTTAATTCTAATTAGCTGATTGGAATGTTGTTCTTGGATCAATATAGATGTTAATCCAGGAACATGTCCCACTAGGTGAAATCAGGTTGGCTAATTCCATCAATTCAATTTGACTTATTTTTCTTACCCTTGTGTCATTGTACACTCATTTTTACATGGGTGAAAATAATTTGAATAATTTGAATCTGGAAGATTTCTATTCGGCTAAAACGTTTAATGCTTCAAAACTTTCACCTTCGTGTGATTAAACAAATCCATATAAACGGAACAGTTTAATCCAACTCTTATCAGTTTATAAGACGAGCAGACTTAATTAGAAAATTTATTTCCTTTTTTCCATTTAAATTATTCAAATGTGGTCACCTAATCTCAAGCGTTCTTGCTTAGAGTAAGAACCCATGGGATTAACTCTTGTGTCAATTAGGCATGGTTATGTTTCTGATCGCAGATGTGAATAATAGCTGTTTATATGTATTAGATTCATATTAATACATTGATTTTGACTTTAAAAAGAGAGACACACATCTCTAACATGTAATTGAAAAATATTTTAATTTGTTTTCCAAAGATGATGAAAATCTTACGGGTTTGGAATGAGAGTGAGTAAATGTCTCTGAGACATACGTCACAGTTCAGATGAAAGGGCTATTAGCACTTCCGCCTCATTGGGGCTAAAAGTAGTAAATTTTAGTGTGCGCTGTAATTTGTCTCACAGCATTTCTACTACAGGCATGAATGAGGCCTCAAATCATGGGGCTTATTCAGGAGAGACGTGCTAGTATTTTTTCTAAGCAATCTGGCTGATTTTCTTTTCTATAGTAGTTGATGCATAAAAAGATACTGGGAAAAAAATAGAATAACAGTTAGCAACCACCCACAACACCCTGGCATCATCGCACCGCTTGCTATTTCTGCAGAAATTGATTCTGATTTTTGAGGTGGGGATATTTTCACAAGTAAGAATTGTTTAATAGTCCTATGCTTTTCCCACTTTAGTTTATCTTCGTTCTGTACTTATCAGTTTTCACATGATCTCTTTCTCATGATCCGTTCCTCGAAAAGCAGCTCAACTTTTTGCTTTGGATCTGCAGTCATAAGACATGCGGATGGTATAGCTTGTGCTCGGCTGTCATGATCCTCGTTTGTTTGTGTCCATATGAAAACGACCCCATGATCCTTTCAGCTTTGTACTGGAGAAGATGCTGCTTCACATTTTGTGCTGTTTTAGTTGTAGAAAAGTGTGTGTTGTGCTCCATTAGGAGCGTCACTGCCTGTCCCTGTACTCCGTTCCCTAAGTATAGCTAATCCATCACACAAAATATCCCATTATAAAGCCCTGAAAGGGTGTATATCTTTTTCTTTATTTTTATTTTTATTTTTTTTGTGTGGTCACTGATTACCCTTAAAGTAAGATGTTTATTTAAGTTGATGAACTAAAAATAGAGGCTGATCATTTAAATCTTAGTGGCACAATGTACTGTACTGTTTCTAATTTCAGACACTGGTCTGTTCTGTTCTGTTCTGTTTGGTTAAGTCTGTATTATTAATTTCCAGTAATCAGATCAGATCTGTGTGTTTGCAGACACAACCAAACCTATGCATATGGGTTGCTTTGGTAACAACGTAGGCGTACCCACATATGTGAGAAGGCTTTCAAAATGGATCCAGGAAAAATAGAGGTGCATCATCTCAGTCTGTAAATAAATGCCCTGTCAAGTCGCAGTGCAAAACTTCATTTGTACAAGAAAAACTCAGAGATGGAGGAAATAATTTTGTGATAATCCATGCACCTTCAAATGGGTTTAAGTCAGATTTGAATATGTATGCATGTATTATAATAACTACAGCTAAAATAAATAATAAAAATATAAAAAAGTATAAAAAAATAATGAATTAAGGTGCTATTAAAAAAAATGTGCATGGATTTAGTTCATACCCTGTAATAAATGCAGAGTTCCAAACAATTCCTTCATGTAGCCAGCAGCTAGCTCTCTGCAACTCTTCATTATTGCCCACTGAAGCTAAGCAGTACCTGGACCACAACGCTGCCGGAAGTAGTGTTAGTAAGACCAGCAGGAGGCCCTCAGCCTGCAGTCTGTGTGGGTCCTAACGCCCCAGGATAGTGAAGGGGACTCTGCTCAGTGAGTGCCGTCTTTCGGATGAGATGTTAAATCCTGACTCTCTGTGGTTTTTAAAAATTCCAGGATGTCATTTGAAAAGAATATTAAACCCAGGCATTCTGGCCAAACTTGCCCACTGGTCACTGTCCATCATGGCCTTCTAACCATCACCTTTTCATAACTGGCTTCATCACCCTGTCTCCTCTCCATCAATCAACTGGTGTAGTGATGTGGTGTGTGGATTGAACATAATTACATCGTCTCAAAAAAAGGCTTAAGAATTTTGCTGTTTCAACTGATTTTAAATAAGTAGGTTGAATTAGCAGCAGAAGTCATTTTTAAGTCTAGTTGAAGGCAAAATTATGCATTTTAATTATTTAAAAATATTTTTTCAATTAATTAACAGAGCAAGGACATTATTTACAGTATTTCCTATATATACTGTATATGTATATATATATATAGTTTAGAAAAAAATATTTTTGTAATAATAATCAATAGCCCCCATACAATTGGCTACAGACAAATCCCTGCTTTCCAATGATTTGCATAATTAACCTAATATGCCTTTAATATGCACTTTAATATAAATTCTAGTGTTTTAAAATAACTATAAAAATATTACGTACTGTCATTCTGAGCAAATCTGAAGGTTGAAATGAGTGTTCATTGATCATTGTTTAAATGTGAATAAGCTTGAGTAGCCCGAGTTAAATCTGTTCATCATACTGTATAAAGTGTGTATTTCTCATTAGAATACTTGTAGTTAATGTTCAGTTCATATGCTGAAGCATCAGATATGAATATTCAAATTCTTTCAATGAACAGCAGAGTCTCAGATTCCAGATTTGTTATCAGTTGCACTTAATTTCCAATATAAACCCTGCGTCCTAAAGCAAAACCATTTGAGCTCTACTATACTAAAGGACAGTCTGTCCTTTGTATCATGTAGACCAACCTGATGCCAAACTCATTAATGTCAGTATCTCAATCCATTATGAATCTAATACAAACACTCAATGCGGTCATTAATAATTCAGCCCACTTTCAATAGGACATTTTGGCAGAAGAGTTTTCTTCTTTTTTTTTCCATTGCTCTGAAAATAAGTTTTTGATCCATCCCTGTTGGCCTCGTGTAAAAGCTGACAGACTGCGACGGCATCCCAGCAGCCTTTGCGGTTAATTGAGTTAAGTCACCTGTGAAAGACTGTACAGTCCGAGTCAATGAGCCAGGTGTCCCCCAGGCTGGGGGCCTTATAAAATAACCTATTGTGCTCTCTTTTTCTCTTTTTTTCTGAGCTCTGCTTCTTCATTATTACATCGGACGTGCTAATAAGAGCTGCACTTTCACCAACTCAGTGTGACTGCAGGATTCTTGCATACTAAATTGCATTAAAGCGAAAATTCAATCATTATTTACACCCACTGTTGACTTACTTTCCTCTCTGACACTGGTTGCTGTTTTTTTAGGCAGTTGGTCCACATGGCGATGCTTTCAAGCTTCCGAAATTAAGCCAAATAACCATTACAGCAGTACATATGACTCATGCACTGCATTACAAGTCTTGTAAAATTGTATGAACCATTTTATAACACTTTCTAAAGCTTGAAAGCCTCAGTTCATATTTCAAATAATTGGATGTATAAGAGTAGCTAGCGCAATTTTAAGTCATGCCTATTTGAAATGGCACACCAATGACTTTCACAATCATTTAGTCTCATTTACAAGTTGTTCAGTCATATATAAGAGCAAATAAATCTTATTTATTGTGAGCTTCCCAGTGACCATTGTCATCATGGCTCTGTTTTTTTTTTTTTTTTTTTTTCAGGTGGTCTTCAGTCTACTCTGGGTCATGCTGTGTGGCTGAATTCTATGCTGTAGCTGAAATGAGGTTGGTGATTTTGGGGTCGCGGCCCCTTTTGGCCTTGACCCTCATGCTCACCCTCACCTGCCTAAAGCATCTGTGCCATGGTGCAACACCCTTTCCTCAGGATCTGGAACCCATCAGGACCGTTGGTAGTGAACGTAAGTACTCTGAAATAGGGCTGAACAATAAATCAGTATCAAATATGTGAATCCATAATAGGGGTTTCAAAAGCCGCATTTGCACTGCACTGTTCAAGTGACTCAATTCCGATTTTTATTTATTTTTCTCCCATGTGGCACAGATCGGATATGGCTCATGTACAGTATGTGTAAGCAGGAACAAATCTCATGGATTCCGATTTACTCAAATCAGATTTTGGCCTTGTTCATATGTGGAAATTTATCCGATATGAATCGGATCTGTGGTGACTCACTGACTCTTTGTTTCCCCTTTGACCTTTGACTACTGGCTTGTTTGTGAGGTGACGTTTAATCTCTTCTTTTAGCTGTTACTGCAATAATGTTACTTGTGGATCTAGACATGAGTGTGTCTACAGAGCAGATTTTCTCATCACGTCGCCATCTTTATGGAGCAGCTGATCACCGCGGCCTTTTAACATCAGTGTCCATGTCACTAGATATATTTCCATCTAAAAATGCAAATGAACTTTAAGCGCAAATCTGGATTACAGCATAAAAGATGTGCGAATAAAGCAGTGTTTTTATCCAATGAATCAAAGCGACCAAAATCGTCTGTTCCTGATTAACTGGCGCCAAATATCAACATTAATAATGGAATTTACTACTTTAAAAGAAGCTGCATGGTTCTTTTCTTCATTTAATAAATGACTTGAGCCTCAGAAGGCAATCCTGACACGCAATGAACGTGCGGTGGAGTTTGAAGGCATGAGACGCAGAGGACGGATGCTCTTGATTCTAGAGGTCATTAATAATGTAATAATACTAATACTGAAACGGTTAAGGTGTTCTAGAATGACCAAAATAACATTTCAGATGTTTTACAATGTGCTCAGCCTGCTGGTTTGTTCATTCGCACACATTTTATTGTCACATGATCTCTTATAACAAAAGCACAATATTTGCACATATTGGAATTGGAATAAAGGTGTTTCCATTGATAGGGAAAATAAAAAACTTTTCCATCTGGGCCATTTGAAAAATTCTCTAGCCTTTAGCCCTTTATAAGTCTAACATTTCATTCATAATGGTCTTACAAAAGTCTTAAATTTAACTCAGTGAAACTTGCAGAAACCTTGTATACAATGCTATAGCCTACAACAGCCGAGCTAACCTAATTGTTCTAGTCAAGCCTTTTAAATTGCATTTTAAACTGAATGCTAGTATCTTGAAAAATATCTAGTCAAATATTATGCACTGTCATCATGGCAAAGATAAAAGAAATCAGTTATTAGAAATGAGTTATTAAAACTGTTATGTTTTAAAATGTGAAGAAAAGAATGTGAAATTGAATGTGAAATCTTCTTTCTGTTAAACAGAAATTGGGGGAAATAAATGGGGGGCACTGCATAGAAAAATACTTAATCACAACAGTCTATTTACATTATTAAAATCCTTCCAAACAGACCTATTCCACTCATCTGATTAAATTATATTAAAATCTCCATATATGTCGCCGCAAAAGCAAACATCACAATGTCAGACTTTCCCAATATCGTGCAGCCCAACTCTGAAATACCACTGAGCGCTGCAGTTTCTGGCATAAAAGTGACATTATTCCACCGACATTATTTCAATTGTTTCCAACTTTAGTCAAGTGTTAAAACCTCAGTTTGTTTTTCATAGATTCGTAATTCAATCACGGCAGTCAGAATTATGAATGCTTTATCTAGCGTAATATATAGCAATAGGCGCATTAAACCGTACCCGGAGCTTAAAAGTAAACTGCCTGCCAAGCGATCAGATCTTGGCAGGCGTAAAGAGCTTCACACGCCAAATACATATATCAGCAGGCATGGCTTGCCAAGTCCATCCTCACCCCTCCTTCCTGTTCCCAGCCCTAATCTACCCCCATCCCGGTTTTCAGCCCCATGCTACTCCCCAGTTTCCAAACCCAGTGGGTCTGATGAGCAGCTTCACTCTGAGCCGCTGTGAGGTTGTTACTAATTGGCAAATATAAACTCCTCAGTTTGGCTATGTAGCAAGCAGCAGGGTGTGGACAGGCCGACTCAATTACAAATGAGGTGTGATGGAAGTGTTCAGTTTATGTTGATGTTTTGCGGACAGCTCGTAATCTAGACATGTACTGTTCAACGTTTTTAGGAAACCAAAAAGCTTTATTTTACTTTGAATGCTTTGGCATAGCTTAGTGTCTTTTTTCTTCTTCTGTTTGTCATTCCCTTCTAAATTGTGAACAGTTCCTGAATTTAATTTGAAATTGCTAACACTATATGGATTTTTTATTATAAGATTAGATTTATTGGATGAATGGATGGATGGATGGATGGATGGATGGATAGATGGATGGATGGATGGATGGATGGATGGATGGATGGATGGATGGATGGGTTGATAAATGATCAAAGGAAAGAGCTGTATGGAGGGATGGAAAGATGCAAAGACATGATTGGAAGAAGTTTTAAGGATGGATGGATGGATGGATGGATGGATGGATGGATGGATGGATGGATGGATGGATGGATGGATGGATGGATGATGGACGATTGGATTGTAGATGTATGGATTGATTGATTGAAAGTTAAATGGGTTGATGAATGATCGAAGGAAAGATCTGTATGGATGAATGGGTGGATGGATGGATGCAAAGACATTAATAGAAGGAGTGATAGAATTCATTGAGTGATAGAAAGATTAATGGGTTGATAAATGATGGAAGGAAATAGCTGCATGGCTGGATGGTTGGATAAAGGCTAAGACGTGAATGGAAGATGCGTGGATTATGGATGGATTGGTGGATGGATTGTAGATGTATTGATTAATTTATAGAAGGATAAATGGGTTGATGAATGATGGATGGTTTTGGATGGATGGATGAATGGATGGATGGATGCAAAGACATAAATGGAAGGAGATGTGTGAATTATGAATGGATGAATTTGATTAATTGACTGACTGACTGACTGACTGACTGACTGACTGTTTGGTTGATTGATTGATTGATTGATTGATTGATTGATTGATTGATTGATTGATTGATTGATTGATTGATTGATTGATTGATTGAAACGGGTTAATAAATGATGGAGGGAATGTGCTCTATAGATGGATGGTTGGGTAAATGCAAAGACATGAATGGAAGGAGATGTTTGATAGATGGATTGTGGATGTATGGACTGATTGTTAGAAAGATGAATGGGTTGATGATGGAAGGAAGGAAAGAGTTGCATGGATGGATGGATTGTGGATGTATTGATTGATTTTGTAAAAAGATGAATGAATTGATGAATGATGGATAGAAAGAGCTGAATGGATGGATGATAGATGGATGATAAAAATTTATTTATCTTTGGGTGGAAAAGAATGAAGATGGATGAACAAAGAAACATTTATGGATAAACTAATAGGAAGATGGAAAGATTTGCAGGGTTGATAAAGTTGATGGATGGAATGCTATGTGTGAAAGGTAAAAATTATGAACTGATCGATGCCTGATGATATAAAGATGGATGGATGAAAGGGATTGGATGGAAAGATGATTGAATAATGGATGGAAAAAGAAACATCATGTTTTTGCATCCATCCATCCATCCATCCAGCTCTTTACATTTATCATTCATCGACTCAATCATATTTCCATCAATTCATTCACAATCTATCCCTCCATCAACTTCACTACTCCTTCCATCATGCCTTTGCATCCATCCATCCATCTATCAATCCAACCATTCATCCAATCCATCATCCCCACAACTCCTTCTATTCCTATCTTTCCTTCCATCCAACCAATTATCCAATCCATCATCCCCACTACTCCTTCCATTCATGACTTTACATCCATCCATCCAACCATCCATCCAACCATAGGAGATAGATAGATAGACCGACTGACCGACTGACCGACTGACTGACTGACTGACTGACTGACTGACTGACTGACCGACCGACCGACCGACCGACCGACCGACCGACCGACCGACCGACCGACCGACCGACCGACCGACCGACCGACCGACCGACCGACCGACCGACCGACCGACCGACCGACCGACCGACCGACCGACCGACCGACCGACCGACCGACCGACAGACAGACAGACAGACAGACAGACAGACAGACAGACAGACAGACAGACAGACAGATAGATAGATAGATAGATAGATAGATAGATAGATAGATAGATAAAAGAACCTGATACAGGTTTGAAATGACAGGAGTAAATGATGGCAGGATTTCAAATCTAGCTCGAGGTCCCATTTTCCCTTTCATTCAAGCTTTCAAAAAGAAAAAAAAAACCGCATGATGGATGTCCCATGATTGACAGGGGTGACTCGAGGGTCATGTTTGAACAGGTACGAGAGCTCTGCATGGGTCTTTGTTCTGCTGAGACGAGTGAAGCACATTTGCGAGAGCTGGACTCGGAGCCTCAGCACCACTGCTGTACAGATAGCTAGGCTAATAGAGCTCTCCAAAAAAGAACATCACACGTGTAATGAGACCCATTTATCAACCATTTCCACCTGTGTATGTGTGTGTTTATGTGCTTACTATATTCTGTATGTGTGTGTGCTTTAACATCCTGAGACTTTGCCGTGTGCCAACACCTTTACACAGTGTAACCTTTAAACCCATTAGATGACCAAGACCACATTCACACTGGAGCCACATTCAGGTGTCTTGCTCTGCTCGCTTAAAACTATTTTTTAGGGAATAAAAACTGCAACCGCTAATGTTTTGTTTTTGCTCATTAAGATGATGGTTTTTAAAGAAAGTGTTTGGCCTGGAATGGAATGTATGGGTTTGTTCTGGAGCGCAGGGCTGGTGGGAGCAACTTTAGCGCAAAGAGACCATATCAAAATATGCAAATGACTCAAGACAGGTTCCTCCATTTCTGTGATTTTCTTGCATCGTGGCTCAGGGAAGCTGTCAGCAAGTAGCACAACGGCTTTAACAAATAGTTGTTTTGTTTGCTTCTGTACACATGACACATTTTAATGTACAG